TGTTTTGTGTAGAATCTAAATCTTTTTCACAACCCATTAAGCTTATTTTAATTTTCAACATTACAAATAAATCTATAATTTTTATTTCGTAAAGTTGTTAGTTCATCGTCGAAAAATACTAACAACCAACACCACCAGTTATATTAAATCTAATGTAAATAATAAATATGTAACTTTCCTTTTTATTTTTTTATTTTTTAGAATTGGTGGGAAATATTTCACAACCTCTATTTTATGAGGTTTTTAAATATTTTCTCCTGAAGTAATTAATTTTGTTTCTGTTATATTTCATAAATAAACAATTAGTATTTACAAGACCACTAGAGCACGTGAAATTAAAGTAAATTGAACGTATAATTGAAATCTTGAATATTCGCAATCATATCTTCTTGATTGCTATTGAGCTATTGAGTTGAACAAAACAAGAATAAAAATACAGAGTGTCCCACAAAACATGACAGTTGGTGAATAGTTTAAAATGTCATCTTCTATAATTTGTAAAAATTCCTTGAAACCGACAGGAAAGAAAAAAAAGCATGGAATTTTGGCAGTGATAAAATAGTAAAATTGATTTCAAAGTAAAATATATTTGATTAAAAGATTTTTTTAGCGAAATAAACTGAAAAAGTCTTTAATATTTAATATCCAGTCCCATATCATATTAGATTATCTCCAATACGCACATAATGCTCGGAAAATCTAGCATTTTCTGAAAAAAAAATTTCTACTAACCTTATTAAATTTTTCAAAATGATTCATTCTTCTTAAATTTTCTTATTTGTCCCCCAAATCGTAATTTAGACCCTTTGACGCGGTCTAATTTGATGTGGTACTCCTTGTAGTATATGGAAGAAGACATTCAAAACTATTAACCAACTGTCATGTTTTGGGAGACACCCTGTATGTACCCGGATTAATTGCTTTTCACATACTTGTAAAATCAGAACTGAAGGCCCAAAGTTACACCAGTAATGTCGCTTAAACTTTACCTTCTCTTTACGTCTAGTTTCCAATAAGAAGGTCCAATAGTGAAAATTACTTAATCTATTTTTTTTTATCTTATCTTAAACAGAAACCCCAACAATTTTTTTAATTTTCTGAACATAATCTTCCAAAAGTGAAAATAAAATTATTTAATTTTTTAGTTTATTAACATAGAACCCAAAAACTTTCTACATTTTTATAAAAAAGTTTCCAAATCTCTTTTTTTCACTGATTAGGCAGAATTTGAAATTATTTCAAAATATATCTAATTCATATTTCAGAAAAAAAATAATAAAAATGGTTTATGAAACAAAATACTATGACATCCTAGAGGTAACATTTTATTTTTTATTTTTATTTTATTTTCAAAAGATTTTCAAAATAAACACTTTAAAATACTTTAATACTATAATAAAAAAATAGAAAACGTAGAAATTATTTTATTTATCCTATTTCATTTTTCCTATTACATTTTTCCTATTTTATTTATCCTATTTTATTTTTACCTTGAGTGTCCACAAAAAAATTCAGCCCTATCGGTCCAGCTATTTGGCCGGCTATACGCAACATATATATATCCGAATGTCTTGTTTTATTAGAAGGATTGTTTATTCTAAATATTTGCTTTTTTAACACTAGGCTAAATTTCCACCCTGAGAGTATCTTTACTACCATAACTCATCTTATTGAACAACTATTGAGAAGAAGAAAATGTTTTGAATTTAAAACCGGATAAATTAGCTTTCCTTGAATTTTGGCGCTAAATCCAAAGTAACATCGCATAAATTTGATTTTCTCCTCCTTCTTTCAAAACTATTATATTAAAGTTTGCTTTTATTTAACTTTGCAATATCTTTATCCAAAATAAAAATAAAAAGTTCAAAAAGGATCCAAAAAATTGTTTCGTCATCTTCGTTATTGGATCGTTTTAGGTCGTTTTTGGATCGTTTAAAGATCGTTTTTGGATCGTTTTTGGGTAGTTTTAGCATATAACTTCTGCCAGAGTCAAAATTGAACAAAGTTTCAATTCATTTGCTTTTTTAACACTATGCTAAATTTTGAAGAAAATCTAAGCAAAAAATCTGAAAGCATATTACTATTCACGGTGCGATGTGCAGGTATACCTGGGTTTGGCTGGGTTCTCTATCTGTGAGATGGGAAACTTCTCAATTCATCTTCTTCTTAGAAACCTCAGACCTGAAGGAAGCAAGGTAAATTCGTTTTTTTCCCAAAATTTTTTATAAAAATTTAGAAATCAAAATATTTTTTTTATTCCACGGGCAACGCCGGACACTTCAGATAGTTCATGATAATGGAAACTAGAGACTCAAGGATGAGACATCACAGTCAAATTGAATTTATTCAGTTTATTTTTAAATAAATACTTCTTTCCCATTTCATTTAATATTCACTGAAAAGATATGATTTTAAAAGTTTCAATTCAACTTTTAGTTTAAAAAGTTTTAAGTCTTTTATAATGTTTCATCTGTTGTGGGTAACCCTGTAAATAAAGATATATGGCGACTGAAAACGTAATTTCAAGTAATCCCTCTATTTAAAGAGTTACATGTTAGATTCACACTGGGACCCTTTGGCTGTTCATTCAAAATGAAGAAGTTATCCCTGTTATTCGATTATTTACAAAAATTGCTTCCGGATCTATGCAGCAGAGAGAAAAGAAAACTGTACGGAATTTATTCAGTTAAATTTTTTTTTATTTCTGGTACCCTGTAGCTGCCATTTTGTTTAATAAGACACTTTAATTTCCTGATTAAAAACACAAGTTTAAATTCAACCTGTTGATCGCAATATTTTAAGTTTTATCTTTTGTTTTACTCATGGCGACGTAACTCTAAGGGACCCGTGCCTTCATTTAAAAAAGGATGAGAATAGAGCGGCATGTACATTGTACAATTCACAACCTTTGACTTATCATTCAAAATGAAGGAGTTATCCTTGTTATTCTATCTAAAAACTGGTTATGTTCAATGCGATTATTAGAAAAGTGACTTGCTTTCATCATTTTAAACTCGAAAAGCAAAAATGTTTTTCCATCATTATTCCGATAAAGGGTTTAAGAGTACTGAAGTGAATCGAGCACGCATCGATAGTTTTTATTATTTTTATTTTTAACTAAATTTATTTATTTTTAAGGTCCGGAAGATCCCTTATCCTAATTGGAATCCTCTTACCTCTCTCTTCAACTTTGTTTCATGTCCTAACTATACTTACGAGGTATTCATTCATTCATTCATTCATTTACTTATTATTTTATTCACCTATTCACTGAGTGATTATAAAAAAATTGATTTTAGTTAAGGATAATTTTTTTGTCGCATTCGTATATATTTATGTTGTCTATAGCCCGCCAAACGGGTGTTATAGGCTAAAAGAACGATTTTTTTTAAAAATATTTTTTTCAAATTGTTTTCACGGGCAACGCCGGGCCCTTCAGCTAGTTATTAATATTAATTGATCATGGTTCCACGAGTGGGATTGTTTTCCATGAATTTATATTCAAACCTTTAGAATTTAATTATTCCTCTTTCTCAGAAGGCCTTTCACATTCATTCTTTTATTTTTATTATTCTTTATTCGTCCAATTATACGGCGTAATTGTGCAATGTACATCTCTGTCATAATTGATCTATTTATTCTTATTTCTATATATTAAATATCTTTTTGTTAATAATGCAATCCTATCTTTATGATGTTTATTCAACATGTTTATTTATCTATCTTGCTATCTAACTGTCTCTTTTCGATATTAATTTTTGATGATTTTTATATCGTTAGAACCGAAGAGGGTCAACCCAGACAGAAATATTCTTTTTTTTTAAAGTGAATGCCTTTTTTTAAGAACCGAAGAAGGTCAACCCAGACCGAAATATTCTTTTTTTTAAAGTGAATGCCTTTTTTTAAGAACCGAAGAGGGTCAACCCAGCCCGAAATATTCTTTTTTTAAAGTGCATCTAATGCCTTTTTTTTACTTAAAATTCCTAAATAAGTAACAACTAGAGGTTTGATCAGAACTGCAAAACATATTTAATCTTTATATTATCTATCTATCTATTATCTATCTATCTAGTATCTATCTATCTATCTAGTTATCTATCTATCTAGTATCTATCTATCTATTTATCTAGTATCTATCTATCTATCTATTTAGTATCTATCTATCTATCTATCTAGTATCTATCTATCTATCAAGTATCTATCTATCTATCTATCTATCTAGTATCTATCTATCTAGTATCTATCTATCTATCTATCTAGTATCTATCTATCTATCTATCTAGTATCTATTTATCTATCTATCTATCTAGTATCCATCTATCTAGTATCCATCTATCTAGTTATCTATCTATCTATCTAGATTGGAGCTTGGATTAGTTTTACTGTGATGACCCAGTGTTTACCAGCTGGAATATTTACTGTTGCAGGTAAAAAAAAACGTTAATTCTTTTTTAAAAAGATTTTAAAAAATAGATTCCTAATTTAAGATTAAATATTTATTTTTTTCAAGTCAAAAATTTTATTTTTTTCAGATGCTACTCTTTCATTTATTTACAAGTGATTTTTTTGCTAAATTTTTTACAAAAAAAAGCTTTATCATGATTTTAATTTTTATCATAGAAATGTATACAGTGGTAACTATAAAACTGTAGAATAGTCATCTATCTATCTTTCAACTAGAAATGTTACTAAGAACTTTCTTATTTGTAACTTACTCACGTCTTCAAGTGTATTTTAACATTTTCAGAAATCTACCAGTCATGACGGTTTTACAAAATTACAAAGAGAAATATTATGATTAAAAGCAAGAAGTTAGACGACAATCATCAAATAGTTTTCTTGTTGTAATCGAATTTTTTATTCCATTTTTTTCATTTGTCATAAATTCTATTTTTTACTTAGGAGCCTACCAGATGATCATGTGGGCGCTTGGAAAGCACAGGAACTACCGAGCAGAGTTCAAGACAAATTATCAATTATGACAAGTCCTAGAATTCTAGACGGAGTATAGTTTTAAATTTTCTTTTTAATTTTAATGAACTTTTTATCTTAAACCAAGGTCCCGTGCAGGAAATGAATAATATACTGTTTTAGAGAGATTTACTTTAAAAACCATTTGGCGAAGAATAATAGCATGGGAGGGGGAAGGGGAAAGGTCAATTGAACATGCCGCAAAAAACTAAACAACCTCATTTGCTGTTTTTAAAAGAAGTCTTAAAATTCCAGATTAAGCAGAGTACCCAAATTATTTAAAATTTAATCTTGTAAAGGGATGGCGATTTTAATTTTGTGAATCTTGAATAATTTTATACTTTTTCAAAATTTCAATTATTTTTTTTAAAAGGTAAATATTTTGCCATTAAATTAGCACTAAACTTCAAACATAATCAAAACGAAGAAGGGTTGGGGGGCGGGGAAGGTTCTTGAGAAAACGTGTACGATTGATTGCAAGAACTTCAACTGCACCTTATATATTGTCATGATTAAGTTTTAAAATGAATAATAATAATATAGCTTGACTATACCTTAAAATTTGTTAAAAATCAAGATATTGCCCATTACTAATTATTTGTTCTATATAGGCGGCCCTGGTTAGCTTATGGAGATGTTGGTGGGGAACCTGCTGCCGAAGTTGTTCATATAGCAGCTGCATGCTGGTAGGTCTAACATTTATATACATAACGTCGTCGTCTTAATCAATACAATGAAGACAACTTTTGATTTTGATTTTTATTTCTATCAAGCTTCCAAACAGCATGGATTCAGAAAACATAAGGAAGATGTCAATTAACAGCTTCTTTTTGTTTACTTTTTATAATTTGAAAATAGCTTGTTAGCCATGTATTGATATAAACGCCAACCACTGTATATAAAGTAGTAATCTGTTTTTGTTTGTTTGTATTTATGTTTGCACCCGTTGACCGGTTTGCCTCAAATTGTCAAGATCTCTAGGGAAAGCTGAGTACCAAGCTGGTTTATATAGTAGTATCTGTGTGTTTGTATGTTCGATCATAACTCATGAATCCCTTGACCGAATTGTCTTACATTTTATGTTGATTTGGTCGAAAGTTAAATTTCCATGCAATTCCGGGTTCCCAAACTAGTTAAAATATAGTTAATGATGTTCGGTGTTCACATATCTGGTAGGTGATCTATATTCATATATTAGCTGCTAACAGGAAGTGTTAATCTGTTCACAATTTAACTATTTTTAGCACTGCATTCAAAACACTCCCTTTAAAATGATTAATTTCAGGGTGTTCCATTATGCTAAGAGGATTCTGGAAACCTTGTTTATTCACAGGAACTCCTTCCTTCATTTTAAAGAAAATGTAAACATGTAACAGGATGTGCAAATACAGTAAAAGCCTAAGAAAATTACAGTAAAAGCATAAGAAAATTACAGTAAAAGCATAAAAAAATTACAGTAAAAGCATAAGAAAATTACAGTAAAAGCATAGGGAAATTACAGAAAAATCAGTAGAAAATTACAGTAAAAGCATAAGAAAATTACAGTAAAACCATTAGAAAATTAGAGTGAAGGCATTGGAAAATTACAGTAAACGCATAGGAAAATTACAGTAAAATCATTTGGAAATAACACTATTTGGCATAGTAAATTACAATATAAACAGTGGAAAGTTACAGTAAAAGCATAGGAAAATATAGTAACAGTAATGATAAATATCAGTAAAAGCATGAAAAGTTAAAGTAAAAGCATGGAAAAATTTCAATAGAAGCATTGGAATTCGTATTTCGTATATCCTCAGTAAAAGTTAAAGAAAATAAATAAAAGAATGGATTTAAAGGTTCTCAAATGCAACAATGCCGATCACCAACCTTCTCAAGAACTGCAGGAATACATAATAAATGATAATAGAAATTTTCAAAATATAAATCAAAGATACAAAAATAATAAATAATATCATTAAAAAACATTAAGAAATGGACCCCCCAGAGCGTCGCCAGGTGTGGGAAGCTCCATCCACCACCCGTTCCTAATGCCGGACCTTTAACTCCCACTAGCTTTTCCCCAGCCGGGGGAGTCAAGGAGTTACTTCCGGTGGCTGGCAAACCAATTGAATCCATTGGATGGTTGGTATCTGACAACAGTTAATAAAAAATACCATATTAAAGAGACTGTAGCAAGTGACACAACATATATTGAATTCAAACGGTTCCCTTTTAACCTTTGTTTGATCAATTTATTAACTAGAACTCATTATTTTATTCCCTTGTGGTTTATCTTAAAGTATTTATTAACTAGAACTCATTATTTTATTACCTTGTTTTTTATCTTAAAGTATTTATTAACTAGAACTCATTATTTTACTACCTTGTGGTTTATCTTAAAGTATTTATTAACTAGAACTCATTATTTTATTACCTTGTGGTTTATCTTAAAGTATTTATTAACTAGAACTCAATATTTTATTACCTTGTGGTTTATCTTAAAGTATTTATTAACTAGAACTCATTATTTTATTACCTTGTGGTTTATCTTAAAGTATTTATTAACTAGAACTAATTATTTTATTACCTTGTGCTTTATCTTAAAGTATTTATTAACTAGAACTCAATATTTTATTACCTTGTGGTTTATCTTAAAGTATTTATTAACTAGAACTCAATATTTTATTCCCTTGTGGTTTATCTTAAAGTATTTATTAACTAGAACTCAATATTTTATTACCTTGTGGTTTATCTTAAAAACATTACTTGCGGTTATATGCTGCAAGGACAATGAAGCAAATTGTCAGAGGTTAATGCTTTTCAACGAAGAAATATGACTTTACCTTCCTCATTGTTGCTCATATGTAGGATTAAAGGGTACCATTGTGAATTAGACATGCCACGCAATAAATTGATGGCCAGTTTAAATAACCTTTACAAACTACACACTCCTTTATTGTATTGTTATATGGTCTCAGAAATATTTTCACACAGCAACCCTCGAAGCTAATTAAATAAAACCTTTATTTTTAATTATTAAACATTTTGGCTAAAAGATTAATTATTTTTTGCAATTATGTTTTATTATTATTGTTTCGTAGTTACTATTGGGGGTTTGCTGCGTATGTTGCGTATCATATTAACCACTCTCTGTACACCCCACCCTCTACTAACCAGGTACAGTGAGACCTTTAAAACTGTAGAATATGAAGACGTCATTAATGCAATATTTTAGTGTATTTGGTGTAGCAAAAAAGCTTTAAATTCCGCATTACGCGAAAGCCACTGTGCACACTGGACTATTGCAGTTTATCAGTTCATTGGACTGTCTAAAATCATAACTTTAGTCAGGTTCTCACGGAAAAAGTTTCACGTTTTTACAATTTTTTCAATATTCTGCATCAAACTTTTTCGGAGAAGCGTGAAGGTTCTCTATCTGTGAGATGGGAAACTTCTCAATTCATCTTCTTCTCAGAAACCTCAGACCTGAAGGAAGCAAGGTAAATTCGGTTTTTTTTCTTCAAAATTTTTTAGAAATTAAAATAATTTTTTTACTCCACGGGCACTTCAGATAGTTCATGATAATGGAAACTAGAGACTCAAGGATGAGACATCACTGTCAAATTGAATTAATTTAGTTCATTTTTAAATAAATACTTCTTTCCCATTTCATTTAATAAACACTGTAAAGATTTGATTTCAATAATATTTAAAAAGTTTTAGGTCTTTTATAAAGTTTCATCTTTTGTGGGTAACCCTGTAAATAAAGATGTATGGGGGACTGAAAACGTAAATTCAAGTAATCCTCTAATTAAAGAGTTCCATGTCAGATTCACACTTGGACCCTTAGGCTGATCATTGAAAACGCCTTGCGGATTTATGCAGCAGAGAGAAGAGAATACTCTACGGAATTTATTCAGTTTAATTTTTTTATTCCTGGTACCCTGTAGCTGCCATTTTGTTTAATAAAACACTTTAATTTCTTGATTAAATCACAAGCTTAAATTCAACCTTTTGATCGCAATATTTTAAGTTTTTGTTTTTGTTTTGCGATGTGAGACCTACCTCTAAAGGACCCGTGCCTTCATTTAAAAAAAGATGAGAATAGAGCGGCATGTACAATTCACAACCTTTGACTTATCATTCAAAATGAAGGAGTTATTCTTGTTATTCTATCTGAAAATTGGTTATGTTCAATGCGATTATTAGAGAAGTGACTTGCTCTATCTTTTTAAACTTGAAAGCAAAAATGTTTTCCCATAATAATTCCGACAAAGGGTTTAGGAGTACCGAAGTGAATCGAGCACGCATCGATAGTTTTTATTATTTTTATTTTTAACAAAATTCATATATTTTTAAGGTTCGAAAGATCCCGTATCCTAATTGGAATCCTCTCACCTCTCTCTTCAACTTTGTTTCATGTCCTAACTATACTTACGAGGTATTCATTCATTCATTTATTTACTTATTATTTTATTCACCTATTCACTGTCCGAACTATACTTACGAGGCATTCATTCATTCATTTATTTACTTATTTTTTATTCACCTATTCACTGTCCTAACTATACTTACGAGGTATTCATTTATTCATTTATTTACTTTTTATTTTATTCACATATTCACTGTCCTAACTATACTTACAAGGTATTCATTCATTCATTTATTTACTTATAATTTTATTCACCTATTCACTGAGAGATTATCAAACAATTGAATTGATTTTAGTTTAGAATATTTTTTTTGTCGCATTTTTTCATACATTCATTTAATCGCTCTTTTGGTTTTTCAACCGTTACATTTTTTATTTTATCTTTAATACTCATTTTAGTATATCACCATTTAACGATGTTTTTAACACTTTATTGTTTTAAAGTAAAATTATTAATATTAATTGATGATGGTTCCATGAATCTTTATTCAGACCTTTAGAATTTAATTATTCCTCTTTCTCAGAAGGCCTTTCATATGGATGCATAGATTCATTCTTTTATTTTTATTATTCTTTATTCGTCAAATTATACGACGTAACTGTGCAATGTACATCTCTGTCATAATTGATCTATTTATTCTTATTCTTATATATATTAAATATCTTTTTGTTAATAATGCTATCCTATCTCTATGATGCTTATTTAGCATGTTTATTTATCTATCTTACTATCTAACTGTCTCTTTTCAATATTAATTTTTGATGACTTTTATATCGTTAGAACCGAAGAGGGTCAACCCAGACAGAAATATTCTTTTTTTTAAAGTGAATGCTTTTTTTACTTTAAATTCCTAAATAAGTAACAACTAGAGGTTTGATCAGAACTGCAAAACATATTTAATCTTTATATTGTTTATCTATCTAGTTATCTATCTATCTAGTATCTATCTATCTAGTATTTATAATCTATCTATTATCTATCTATCTAGTACCTATCTATTTAGTATCTATCTATCTATCTATTTAGTATCTATCTATCTAGTATCTATCTAGTATCTATATATCTATCTATCTATCTATCTATTTATCTATCTATCTATCTATCTATCTATCTATCTATCTATCTATCTATCTATCTATCTATCTATCTATCTATCTATTTATCTATCTATCTATCTATCTATCTATCTAGTATCTATCTAGATTGGAGCTTGGATTAGTTTTACTGTGATGACCCAGTGTTTACCAGCTGGAATATTTACTGTTGCAGGTAAAAAAAAAAGCGTTCCTTCTTTTTTTAAAAGATTTCAAAATTTATTCATGGATTCCTAAAATAAATATATATTTTTTTAAGTCAAGAATTTTATTGGTTTAGATGCTACTCTTTCATTTATTTACAAGTGGACTTAGACATTTTTTTGCTTAAATTTTTACAAAAAAAAATCGTAGCTATATAATGATTTTAATTGTTGAAGTGTATACAGTGTTAACTATAAAACTGTAAAATAATTGGTGTCATCTATCTATCTGTCAGATGAAATCTATCTATCTATCTATCTATCTATCTATACGGTTTCAATTTTACAAAATTACAAAGAGAAATTTTATAATAAAAAGGAAGAAGTTAGACTACAATCATCAATAGTTTTCTTGTTGTAATTGATTTTTTTATTCCATTTGTTTCATTTGTCATAAATTCTATTTTTTACTTAGGAGCCTACCAGATGATCATGTGGGCGCTTGGAAAGCACAGGAACTACCGAGCAGAGTTCAAGGATTATCCCAGACGGAAATCCATTTTTCCCGGCATTCTATAAACAGCTGATTCGGTTCACGATCAGCTGATCTTTCATAATATCAGCTGACTGCAATCTATTCAGCGGATTATTCGTAAAACAAGCTGATACTTAAATGTTGTATGTTGTGCATTAAATGTGTTTCCTATCAGCTCACTTTTTATGCAAAAGCTGATACTAAGTATGAACTTATCGTTGAATCAGCTAATTATATTGATAGCAGCTGATATTTTCTTTTTCATCCGTGGTTGTTAATCTTAGTAGATATTTTTGAACTGATGCTCATTTGCTTTTCCCTAGATTACATTCCGTCTCCTTTCTGTTATTGCACTGTTGCNATTGGTCGACAAAATAAAGTAGAAAAATGAAGGACTGAAAATCAAGCAATATTTTTCAAGCTTAAAAATGTGTGTTTCTCTTTTCAAACAATATCGCTAAACCAGTAGAAGTGCCCAGCGTTCTTTGATTTTCAGTATATCGCTTGAAGACGACCTCCAATGTTTTATTGGCTTCCGTACACAATCATATTTTGAAGCCAAGTTTTGAATTTTAGCCTTTTTTAGATTTGTTTTAGGACCACTTAGTCTAGTCGATTGATCCTACTTAATCTCTTACATAATTTCTTAGTTTTTGATCAGCTTTATCTATTTTATAACCCATACCTCCGAAATAAGCAAAAATAACTGCTATTTTGACCGTATGCATTAACCTTTCAGTTAGCTTTATTATATTGGATATAGATGCGAGTGTTTGTGTTGTTTCTAACAATCTTTAAACTTTTTCTTAAAAGATATTTCATGAATATTTACAAGAAAATAAACAAAATTTGTTGCTATGTTAATTAATTTGGATTGAAATAAATATAATACTCATTATTATGCATTTCCCAATTATAAGATTGAGAACCAGAAAACTCTGAAATAGCAAGTCTAATTTTAGACTCAAGTTATGACTTACCACCCAATTTAATTAAGAAATTTGCTAAGTTACTAGTAAAATATTTGCTTTGTAACAATGCGTCAAGTTCCTGTTTCCTTTTTATTCCACGGTTTAGTCCAATTTAAGAATTCATCAATTTTGAGTCCAACAAATTAAAAATTTTTTTTGTACAGTCAGTTCCTATTCTTTCTAGAATCTCATTTCCAATTTTTAATTTACAGTGCTCAGGATTAAAATGCATATTTTTATTCCTAAATATCATAAACTTTGTTTTGGGAACATTTAGAGATAGATAGATAGATAGGAAGATAGATAGATAGATAGATAGATGGATAGATGGATAGATGGATAGATGGATAGATGGATAGATGGATAGATGGATAGATGGATAGATGGATAGATGGATAGATGGATAGATGGATAGATGGATAGATGGATAGATGGATAGATGGATAGATGGATAGATGGATAGATGGATAGATGGATAGATGGATAGATGGATAGATGGATAGATGGATAGATGGATAGATGGATAGATGGATAGATGGATAGATGGATAGATGGATAGATGGATAGATGGATAGATGGATAGATGGATAGATGGATAGATGGATAGATGGATAGATGGATAGATGGATAGATGGATAGATGGATAGATGGATAGATGGATAGATGGATAGATGGATAGATGGATAGATGGATAGATGGATAGATGGATAGATGGATAGATGGATAGATGGATAGATGGATAGATGGATAGATGGATAGATGGATAGATGGATAGATGGATAGATGGATAGATGGATAGATGGATAGATGGATAGATGGATAGATGGATAGATGGATAGATNATAGAATAGATTCCTGGAAAAGATGGGATGCTGCAGAGCAAAGTAGTTCCTGGATAGAAAGATTCCTGGAAAAGACGGGATGCTACAGAGCAGAGTAGTTTCTGGATAGAAAGATTCCTGGATAAGACGGGATGCGGCAGAGCAGAGTAGTTCCTGGATAGAATGGATTCCTGGGAAAAAAACAGGATGCTGCAGGGCAGAGTAGTTCCTGGATAGAAAGATTCCTGGAGAAGACGGGATGCTGCAGAGCACAGTAGCTTTTGAAATATAAAAGGTTTCCAGTAATGGTTCAGTAGCGGTTTGAAGTTCAAATTCACAATCCAAAAATCCACAAACCTCTAAATGCTATTCCTATATTTTGATATTTATCTCGATCAAGATAAATAGAAACATCCAACCAGATAGATAGATCTAACATTGACTTCCGATCTTATATCTGTATATGTATCTATATATAAATAATATATAGGTAGATACATAGATAGATATATTATATAGATAGATAGATAGATAGATAGATAGATAGATAGATAGATAGATGGATAGATGATAAAAGGAAGGTACCGGAAGTTACTAGAAGCTACTATATGTAGGCCGGCCAGCCTGAACTTTCTCAAAAGCTTTCATTTAGTTCTGCACAGTCTACACAGTCTACAGTCAGCTAGCAGAGTACGATCACATAGTTGTAGGCAGCTAAGAAGGGAGGGAAGAGAGGGTATATTCTCCACCCTCCCCTTCCTTTTCTTTAGTCTCGGGAGCTGATTCAAAACTAGAAAATTATTTTGTTTCCGAGTTTTTTCCGGACTTATTTATCATTTATTTTTATGTTATTTTAGTTCATTCAAAATATTAGGTTTGTATACCAGTGTATAAACCAGTTATTGAAAAAATTTCTTTTTTCATAAATGTTCTTTTTTATCTTAATTTCTGTGACTCTTTTTAAAAAAACAACAAAGATTTGAAATAAGCCTAAAACCAACTTGTAATTTTAGTTTTTTTAGAGACTTCAAACGAAAGCCAGGATCTTGGCAACGTATTTTAAGAAATGTTTGTGAACTTGTCTTGTCTTGAACCAAATTTACCATGAAATTACCATGAATGATAAAGTACACGATTGTTTCATAAAATATCTTTTAGAGTAAAGTCTCTAAATAAAGAATGAAAGTAGAAATGAGAAAGGCAAATCTGAAATAAAGAGGGATGAAAGTTTCTGTATTCCCTTATTTCTGCATTCCTTAACCCCTCATTTCCCCCCATTCCCCTTATCCCCTCTCACCAATTCCTCCTATCCCAAACCCTATCCATGAACTCCACGTGTTCTGCTTTCTATTTTCACCGTTTATCTTGATAATATAATTAAATGAATTATAAAATGTTAAATTAAAATTTAATTTTAGTATTGCTGTACAGAGTAACCCACATCATATAGGATCGTTTTTATCTCTGAAATTTGATTTTCGGAACTAATCTAAAACTTAAAAAAATATAGGACGACTTTTCAGGGTCGCAATGACGTAGATGACAAACTTAGATATTTAATGCTTAAAAATGCTTGTTTTGTGTAGAACCTATATCTTTTTCACAACCCATTAAGCTTATTTCAATTTTCAACATTACAAATAAATTTTTATAATTTTTATTTCTAAAAGTTGTTAGTTCACCGTCGAAAAATACTAACAACCAACTCCACCAGTTATATTTAATATAATGTAAATAATAAATATGTAACTTTCCTTTTTATTTTTTTATTTTTTAGAATTGGTGGGAAATATTTCACAACCTCTATTTTAGGAGGTTTTTAAATATTTTCTCCTGAAGTAATTAATTTTGTATGTTTCTGTCATATTTCATAAATAAATAATTCGTATTTACAAGACCACTAGAGCACGTGAAAATAAAGTAAATTAAACGTATAATTACCTTCTCTTTACCTTCTCTTTACCTTCTCTTTACCTTCTCTTTACCTTCTCTTTACCTTCTCTTTACCTTCTCTTTACGTCTAGTTTCCAATAAGAAGGAAGAAGGTCGATTAGTCAAAATAAAATGATTTAATATTTTAGCTTATTAACATAGACCCCAAAAACTTTCTACATTTTTATAAAAAAGTTTCCAAATCTCTTTTTTTCACTGATTAGGCAGAAATTGAAATTATTTCAAAATATATTTTATTCGTATTTCAGAATAAAAAAGAATAAAAATGGTTTATGAAACAAAATACTATGACATCCTAGAGGTAACATTTTATTTTCAAAAGATTTTCAAAATAAAATTGTCTTTAAAGCACTTTAAATTACTTTATTATACTTTAAAACTATAATAAAAAAATAGAAAATGTAGAATTATTTTATTGATCCTATTTCATTTATCCTATTTTATTTATCCTATTACATTTTTTTCTATTTTATTTATCCTATTTTATTTATCCTTTTAAATTTTTCCTATTCTATTTATCCTATTTTATTTATCCTATTTTATTTATCCTATTTTATTTTTCCTATTACGGTTTTCCTATTTTATTTATCCTATTACATTTTTCCTATTCTATTTATCCTATTACATTTTTCCTATTTTATTTATCCTATTACATTTTTCCTATTTTATTTATCCTATTTTATTTTTTGATAGTAAAAATTATTTTTTCACTGTTCTTTTTTTGCTATAGGTCAAACCAAGAGCTTAAGAAAGCATACAGGCAATTCATTTATGCATTCTTGAATTAATGCTTAATTATGATGAATTGATAAATTAGTTTTGTTAAGGTGACGATTTAAAATATGAAAATAGCTAATTAAAAAAAAATGAATAAATGAATCAATGAATAAATGAATAGGTGAATAAATGAATAAATGAATATATGAATATATGATGAATAAATGAATAAATGAATAAATGAATAAATAATTAAATGAATAAATGAATAAATGAATAAATGAATAAATGAATAAATGAATAGAAAGATGGCGATGAAATACCACCCAGACAAGAATCCGAATGCTGGAGATAAATTTAAGGAGATTTCACATGTAAATATTTATTCTTTTTTTAACCAACCATTGATTAATCAACGATTCAAAAGATCAATTTTCGATTCACAATGGTACACTAAGGATGAATAAGATATTCTTTTTTTTAACTCTGAAAATCAATTATTTTGTATATAGAGCAAGCCCCCTCTTGGCAAAGTGGGGCACTTGAAATTACAAGTTTACCGTCCCTGCAAGCAAGATAAGAATTCTATAAGCAAGATAAGAATTCTATATCAATGTTTCTTATCTCTCATATTATAGTATAATCCAGTTCCTTCCCGAGGTTGCAACATTAAAATAACTCTTTCAAATTCAGATTTTTTAACTTTACGACAACAACCTTAAAAGTTTATTTGATTAAATATGAAATAATATGAAATATTAAATATGAAATAGATACCCTTTGTTTTGTTTCCTTAAACTGATAATTGATTTTATTTGCGGAATCTCTGCAGAATGACTTGTGCATTACTTAAAAATTAAAAACAATGATGAGAAACAAAATATGAAATAATTATGAAAAATCATAATTCCTGGTTCTCTGATAGTCATTTCAACCCTCCTCTCTATCTAAAAAAGGAATAAAAAAATATTTAAAATGTTTTTTTTAGGCATATGAAGTATTATCAGATCCTAAAAAGAGACAGATTTATGATGAGGGTGGGGAACAGGCGATTAAGGTGAGATCATCTTTCATCAACGCGGCATTTGTTCATTGAACTTACTATTTATAAAATAATAATACATTTTTTTCTGCATATTTTATATTTCATTACCAGAGTAAATATAGAAAAATAAAAGGTTTTACTTCAAGTTATTCTCCGATAGAAGGAAATGATTCATTTGGTGTACCGTCCCATTATCCCGTCTATAGGATGTTTGTATGTACTGTACAACAGCGATTTTAGTGTTTAAATGTAACGTGTTGTGGTTCTTATTTCATGTACGATAATGTTCCAAAAAATGTGTATAGTTCAAAGAATCAATGAATTTACGAATAGAATATTTAAATGATTAATATTCGATTTACAAGGGTACCCTTATCTATAATCTCTAATGTGTACACTGTACATGCAGGAGGGAGGAGGGAGAGGGGGAGGAGCAGGGTTCAGTTCTCCAATGGATATGTTTAACATGATGTTTGGCGGAGGAATGGGAGGTAAAGAGTCGACATTTCTATTTTTATATTAATTTTAGGAATTATTTATGTAAAAAAAAACCATATTGCTAAAAAAATGCTAGGGTTTTTTTCTGATAAAATATCCTTAATTAGTTCTGATGGTTTGCTGAAACATTTTAGTGATGACAAGAATTAAGTAGTTAAACTAAGTACGCTACTTCTTGCTATATTTGATTCTGATTCAAAATACACCTATCAAAACCTGCTTGCGACGATTTACAACTAGTAAATCATCTCTGAATTAAAATTTTTGAATAGTATATACCAGAAATTCGGAAATACTGAAAGAATTTTTATAATGTCGTCTTCCAAGCTTATTTATGTTTAAATACACATTTAAAAACAAATCATCGCCATATTATATTAAGATGTCTCATAAATGTTACGCATATTTCAGGCTATTTCTTTGAAAAAAATAAATTTAGATAATTTAAAAAAAAATATTATTTTAGGAAACGGCGGAAGACAATCAAACAAAACTAAACCTATGATTCACAAACTATCTGTTAGCCTGGAGGAACTATATAATGGAAAGGTATAAGAACAAATTTAAAACACAACAAGTAAATGCTAGATCACACAAAATTAAGATTCACAAAATTAAATGACTACGTTTTTAATTTTTGTGCGCAATTATAAATTCATTGCGTTTTAATCCATTAATTTGTATTTTCTAGCATTAATTTACAAACAAACATGATGAGAAAAAATTACGAATTTTATCATGAAAAATTTATAATTCCTGGTTCTCTGAGAAATAGACGACAAAAAAGACAAATACGCCTTTTTTGATGTTTTTTATACAAAATCCTTAACAAATTCCAGGTGCGCAAGCTTGCCGCGTCCCGTGATATCCAGTGTACAGATTGTGGCGGGAAAGGAGGATCCAACGTGAAAACCTGCCAGGTAAATTCAAAATGGCGTCATGTACAGCAAGACCCATACAACTATGGAACAGGAAGACGACTATTATATTCAAGTTCTGATTTGAACATGAAACACATTAATTGTTTAGTAAACTCAATTGTCGTCGTCCTATTCCACAGTTATATGGGACATGTTGTAAATTCATGAATGCATTTCCTGGGAGTCCAAATAATGAAATGTTAAAATTACGATCTTATACTTTCGTTCTATTTTTAAAATTTTATTTTCCCCATTGCAATTGGGAGACGAAACCATTTTTTCAAAATACTGTAGACGAACTTTAATTTTAGTTACCCTTCGCTTAAAGAATGTTACTTCTGACTAAAAATGCTACCCTTTAAATCTATATCTGAGAAACAATAAGGAAGATATTGTCGTTATTTTATTTTCTATTTTTGATGAATTCTGATAATTTCCTTTATTGTGATTGCAATAAGGACATCTTAAATATCTTTGTAAATCGTTGTTACTTGGATATTCCCTTTAATAATTGAGGATCACATGAAATTATGTATACAATCCCTTTATATTTTCACCATTGAAAACTATGGACTCCCAAGGTGATTTAATCTAAATGATGAGAAAAAACTATGAAAAACGATGAAAAATCATAATTCCTGGTTCTCTGACAAAGGTTGGAGGTCAATATTTTTTTTTCACAAAGTCGTCTTCACACATTAATACTTGGATGAATGTATAACAGGGCTGCAAGGGCCGAGGAATGAAGATTCAAACAGTTCAAATGGGTCCAGGGATGGTTTCACAATCTCAGGTAATGATCATAGAGAGGAGATAGAGTGAAGTTTAGACCATAGAGAAGAGATAGAGTAGAGTTAGGACTATAGAGAGGAGATAGAGTAGAGTTTAGACCATAGAGAAGAGATAGAGTAGAGTTTAGACTATAGAGAGGAGATAGAGTAGAGAATAGACCATAGAAAAGAGATAGAGTAGAGTTTAGACTACAGAGAGGAGATAGAGTAGAATTTAGACTACAGAGAGGAGATAGAGTAGAGTTTAGACTACAGAGAGGAGACAGAGTAGAGTTTAGACTATAGAGAGGAGATAGAGAATAGTATATAACATAGAGAGGAGAAAGAGCAGAGTTTAGACCATAGAGAGGAGATAGAGTAGAGTTTAAACCATAGAGAGGAGATAGAGTAGCTATTTTAGACCATAGAGAGGGGATAGTGTAGAGTTTAGACCAATGAGAGGAGATAGAGTAGCTATTTATATCATAGAGAGAAGATAGAGTAGAGTATGAACTTTAGAGCTTAAAAGAGAAAATCATAAAGAACAAAATTACATTGATATCATAAAGATATAAAAAAAATGTACATGAAGATCATAATGCTATTGTAAATACAAACTCTGTAAACTACTAACCCTAGGCTATCTGCTCGGACTGTGATGGGCGGGGAGACATTATTCCTCCCTCTAGTAGATGTAAGAATTGTAAAGGAAAACGAACAGTAAAGGTAAAGATAAGTAAAAAAAATATTTAAAATTAAATTTCTGCTTTTTCTTTGAAAACAAAGATTCATATACAAAGTGTTCCACAAAACTTGAGAGTTGGGAGACAACTTGAAGATCGTCTTTCATATCTGTATAATAAAACAAGACATTCGTATAAATTGCATTAATAATCGCAAAATACCAATATTCCTGGTCTTTTCAAAATGTGATCTGACTTTTTTGTGTATTCAAACGATCTTCAAGATTTCTCTCTACTTTCATGTTTATAGGGATACTCTGTATTAATATGAACACATTTCATTGCTCAACTCTAATTTTTTTTAAGTAATTGAGTTTTTGCCACAAACTCAAATCTTCTGACCCCAATAACTTTGCAACCTGATTGTGCAAACCTTTGATATTTCAATCTTAGATTATTTTATCTATAAGTATTAATAGTTTGAAATATCTAAGGTCTACGACATTGGGTTACAAAGATATAGGGATTAGAAAATCAGAGTTTGTGGCAAAAACTCAACTCATTCAGGAGAAGAAAGTTATTGAAATGACCATAGAGAAGGGATGTCCAAGTGATTTTAAAAAGATTTACTACGGAGAGGTAAAGCAACATTTTTCTTATACAATGGGAACCAAAGATCTATGGAATAGAAATACGACTATGAGATAGTCAATCGCATTACAGCAATTGTTCCGTGCTTAGCTGGTAAAACTATTTTCTTTGTAAGAATATTAAATACAAATAAGATTCCTTAAATGTCGTCATTCTGTTCCACAGCTTTATAATACTTACTGTATGTGTACAAACGATTTCGGATTTTTAACTCTATTCCTGCTGGGGGGGGGGGGTCAATTTGACCCCTCCCCCTGTAGTTTTTTTTGCATAACTCAAAAAGTATTGGTCTGAGGCTGTTGAAATTTTAAATCAATAAATTGATTAAACAATTAATCAATTGATCAGACAATCAATAAATTGATTAAAGCAATCAATCAATTGATCATAAAATCAATAAATTGATCATTAATCAATCAATTAATTAAACAATGAATTAATTGATCAAACAATCAATCATTTGCTCAAAAAATCAATCCATTAATAAAACAATCAAGCTATTTTTTAATTGATGAAACATTTAATCAAACTGTCAGTAAATCAATCAAACAATCGATCAATTGATTAAACAATCAATAAGTTGATCGAACATTCAACCAGTTGATCAAATAATCAATCAATTGATCAATTCATCAATCCACTGATTAAGTATACTGTTTTGAAACATAAAAATTTTAAAAATTATTTTGGGAAAATTTCTAATTTTCTGTAATTTAGGAACACACAACCTTCCAGCGACACGGGAAGGATTTAACGATGAAGATGGATATAGATGTTAGTGAAGCACTCTGTGGAATGACAAGATTAGTTAAAACTTTAGACAACAGGTGGGGTTAGTGAAGGCGCTATTTCTCAATTTATTCTGTTTATGACGCTGTGATTAATTCATAGATAGGTGTTCCAGAGAACTCGATGCAAAATTTAATCTTCGGTTGATATCTTATGATAAAATGTGTGTTTTGAATTTTGACTTAAAAGCTTTTCAAAATGCAGTCAACAATCTCTGCATAATTCTCGAAAAAATGCCGCAAAAAATCTCAAGAAGACGACTTATTCTTCTATACTTATCAAGAAATCAAGTTTAGCCATGGAACATACATATGTTCATGAGAAGATGATGGACGTATTCATAAAAGAATTATTTTAGTTTTGCCAAGTTATTAATTAACGACCGGAAAAGACCAAAAATGTCAATTAAAATTGAAAATATTTAAATACAAATTCAAGAAATGTCCATTTTCCATCAAATGGCTTTGCTTTATCAGAGCCCTTTTTTCTGAAAGTGATGAGAAAAAATATATGAAAGTTTGATGATCGAATTATTGGTCAGAACAAAAAATAATAAGATAAATTTCAAATCTAACAATAAATTTTAAAATTTTTTTTGTTTAGAACACTGTGCGTGGTAACCCAGCCTGGGGAGGTGATCAAGCAAGCTGACATTAAATGTATTCCAAGTGAGGGAATGCCAACACATAGGAAAGAATCATTTCAAGTGTTTAAATAGCAGTGCAGTTCTTAAAAATGACAAAAATATTTTTGACTAAATTATGAAATTTCAAAATTTTTTCTTCTAAATGGATAAATATACGATAACATTTCTTTTTTGTAATTCTTAAAAAGAAAACCCTTTTATAAAGGGTGCAATAATGGGTGCAATTTTAAGTGCATCACCCTCCATGCAAAAATGGCAATGCCCGATTCACAACCGTATCCTAAAATCTGTCTGATCAAGTATTATAAATTTATATCAATGTTTATAACCTTGGTTTCTCTACAAAAGTGCTTGCGCATTTGTACGGCAGGAAAACACTTAGGAATTATAAGAATTAAACATTTTTTACCCTAGAGAAACGACAATATCTTATACATTTTTATTCAGATAAAACTTTCAAGGGTAATGTTGTTAATCGGAGATTAACGCTCACAGTCCCTTTCAATGTACTTAAAAAAACATAATGATTATGAATCCAGGGATCCCTTTAACAAGGGTAAACTAATTATTATCTTCAACATTAATTTCCCTGAAAAACTGGATCCATCAACAGCTAAGAAGATCGCTGCTCTTCTACCTAAAGTTACAAAACCCGAAGTACCACATCTAATCAGATTTCACATTCACTGCAATTTACCTTTAGATAAATACAAAAACTCTAAAATACTTTTTTTTTACTTTTTGAACGTTTTCAAAGTAAAGTCATAAAACACAGTGAAGTCTTGGGATCCTTAAAATTGTATTCAATGTTTCAAGATTTAAGCCGGCGCTCAATTGTAACCGATTTTCGGCGGATTTGAGACGCGGTTCAAATTAATTAAATTCGAACTCTAGTAGGATTTCTTTTTAATCTTTGATTTCTAATGACAAAAGTAATCAATTTTTAAAAAATATTAAACGTTAGATTGAATCAAAACTTCACATGGATTCTATTTTTGCATGATAAGCACCATAACCTGGTAGACGGGACAAACAAAACTGTAGATGGGACAAACAAACAAAACTGTAGACGGGACAAACAAACAAAACTGTAGACATGACAAACAAACAAACCTGTAGACGGGACAAACAAACAAAACTGCAGACGGTACAAACATACAAAACTGTAGACGGGACAAAAAAGATTTGACAAAAGATAAATAAAAAATTGTAAAAAATATCCTGTTGTCCAGTGGACTGTGGAATATCACTGCTCATGTGCAGAAATGTTTTATAGTATGTGCAGTATAATATGTGCAGTATAGTATGTGCAGTATAATATGTGCAGTATAGTATGTGCAGTATAATCACTAATGAGCAGGAGATATAAAAACATTAATTCAAGAAAAAATTTCTAGATCAGAATGATATTTGTAGTTGGCTGTAAATCTCCCTTATCCTTCTTTTTACCTCCTTACAACCCCCCTTTCTCCCCTAACCCCCCTCTTTACATAATCCATTTACTTCCTGCTGTCCAAAAATGTTTAGATATTTAGAAATATTGATGTAACGAGAACAGATTCTCGTGAACTTGTATT